AACGTACGTGTGTATGTAGTAGGTGTGTGTTTCTTACTTTTAAAAGACTGAGATGATTAATTAAAGTAACATGGTGCATTAATCTGTTATATATGTTTGTCATTTATTCTTTTTGACCTTATATTATTAAAAGACCAAAAGAATTCATTAAATTTGAAGAAATTTTACATATAATATTTGTTAAAATAAATAAAGTAAGTTCATCTGCCCCTTTAAATCAGCCAAGACCAATTCCCATTTGCTTCGGCCAATCCAATAAAATCACTTGTGTCTTGTGGTGGGGCAGCAGCGTACGGTACAAGTCAAGCTTGCCCGATTACAACCGTTCACCACCGCCATCATCCACCACGGGCAACATCTCTTCCTTTCGCAGTCGGAGCCGTAAATCGGTCATGGCTGCCTCCGCCGGTGCTAAACCTCTAACATCTTCCTCATCGTCTTCTGCTACTGCTGCTCCTCCTCCTGATTCGTTCGATATGTCCTCTGGATTTCCACCCAAGCTGTCACTCAAACCCGATCAACTCCGTTACTGCGTCCAAGCTCTCAAAATTTTCAAGGAAAAGCGTATTGATCAGTGTTCAGTAATTGAGAAAGAGTTCTCCATTTTGCAGGTTTTGTTGTTAAATGCGTTTATGAGCCCTATTTTGATTTAATTTACCTGCGTGTTGTCGGTTTGTTTAATTTCGTATTAACAATAACTTTTGATCAATGTTACATCGTAACATGTCGCTATAGCTCTAAACGACTGTATATTATGTATGAAATGATATTCGGTGCTCGCTGCAAGAAATAGGAAGAAGAAGATCTACTAGTTAGACTTATTTAGAAATTCAGACTTGGAACCAAAACAAAACGTAATAAGGATGCCATTAACTTTGACAAACACTCAAAGTTATATAATGTTGATGTTAATTTTGCAATAATGCTTCGTGACTTGTGTATTTGGAGAAGTAAGCTTGACATTTAACAAATTTATCCATGGCGAAAGGAGACAATATGCAGTTTTCTCCATTAATGAATATGGTACTTCAAATTATTATGTAATGTTATAGATATTCTTTCAGCATATCCCCATGGCTTCAAATTATTATGTATTTCCTTAATGAATATGGTCCTTAGTTTTATCAGGTTTAGGTATTCTGTCAGCAGTAAGCCATTGGGAACTTTTGATAGTAATTTAGATCGAATGCATAAATAGCTATCAAAACAGGTGGAAAGCTCGTATGTATGGCATGTATACTCTTGTTTGGACATGAAAGTTAATAAAAATCATGCATAAAGAACCTCTTTATATGTTTTGAGACATTGTGAATCTTCTCAATTTACAAGCATGCTAAATTTCTCATAAACCCCATGCGTTTAATCATAATTCCTATTCTTTCTTACAGGATCATAGGATGAGATCTTCAGAAGTTCATAATAGTTGCTCGGTGGCTAAACTAAAAGTCAATTCTAGAAAAAATCGCTACTCAGATGTTGTTCCATGTATGCTTGTCAAACACACTCTCTCTCTTTTTTAACCTTTAACTGCAGCTAAGCTAAACAATGAGATTTACTGAACTCCTATGTCTCAGTTGATGCAAACAGAGTTGTTCTTGATCCATGCAAAGATCACAGGTCATCAACAATGGGATACATCAATGCTAGTCTTATCACAGCAGAGGTCAATGATTTTCTCCTATATCATCAAACTTTAATATGTGCAAGTAGCCAAATTGAACCCTTATGAATATTGAACACTTCCATCTATGCTTGTGTTGTAGGCTAATCCATCTGAAAGTGTATCAAGATTCATAGCCACTCAAGGCCCTCTTCCTGAAACCTTTGAAGATTTCTGGGAAATGGTACTCCAAAATCATTGTCCAGCAATTATCATGCTCACTCGCCTTGTTGACCACCACAGGGTATTGAATTCCATCTCATCTCCAGCAGCATTATAAATTATAATCATCTTCACTTCTCATGCTATATATATATAGAGTTATCTACCCTGTAAGATTGGTGTTAATAAAGGAATTAGGTACTAAATGACATTTGTATCCAGATTCAGAAGTGTGGAGACTATTTTCAAGCAGAAAATGGTCCAAGATTGTTTGGCAATATATGTACAAATA